TTGTATTGTGTGTGAAAACACAACACATTAAAATTTGATGGAAGAGAGATTCCAGGCAAAGTATTTGCACTATCCTTTTCACACCTGTACAAATATGTTAGCTGCTTTTGAGATCTACGCAGTTAATTGAGAATTTTCAGCTTGTGATCCTGGCAGTTCCAACGGATAGCTCCTTAAACACAGAGGTCCTGTCCTGTTATATAATATTGGATATTCCATGATAGTTTGGTGGCATTCACATTCAGAGATTGTCAGAAAACAGGGTTTTTAGACAGAAGATTTGAAAATAAAAACAAGTCTCCCCCTGTTGGAAGGCAGTGGGTCTTAGTGAATAACACACTAGACCACAGACATGGATTCTATTCTGGACTTGGCCACAGACCGCTGTTTGACCTTGTCCAAGTCACGTCATTGTTCTGAGCCTCAGTTTCCCCATTTGTAAAGTCTTAACATCACCTTAAAGATTCCATATTTATTGTGCCTGTTGCTATAAAATGTGCATATTTCAACTGTGTCAGTCAAAGGGAATGTAAGTACTAATGCTAGGCCTCGGGGTAGGTAATGTCCATTAGAGTAATTTGTTTCAAATTGCATTGTACACATTAAATCCTTGCATTCCGTCCATTGTGAAATTGGCACCTTTTGGTTTTACTAATAGTATCATCATATATTGCTTTGCTGGGTGTAATCCAGGCTGCTAATTTAAAGGTTGCAATAAAATTTTTGTGTAGCACATTTTTTAAAATTACCTGAAGCGAGGGGGCAACACGCTCTTTGGTGAGTATTCAATCAATATAAAGAAAGTTGTTATAAGAAAAGATTCAGAACTAATCATTCTGATTACGTTTTGATTTAATTACAAAACAAATTCTCAGCATTGTCTTTTACTTCACACAGTCCCACAATATCAACTTTCAGATGAAGCTGAGGGATAGTAAGATGTGAGATGGGTGCCTGTGCATGGGGGGGGAGGAGAGAATTGACAAATCTGTTCTTACAAGCCACTAATGTACTGTGCATGTTTACTGAGGTGAGGTGCTTTCTGCAGATTTATGGTGGAAGTTTCAAAAGTGCCTGAAGGCCAGAAAATTTAAACGAAGCTTAGGTATTGCTCATTTCAGAAAGTATTTTGGTACTTAAGATACAAATAGATCCTGAGTGGGAGATTTCAAAATTGCTTAGGCACTACATGATTATATGCACTTTGAAAAAAATGTTACCTACACGAGGGCGTGTTCTTGCGCGAAAACAGTTGCTCTTGCGCAAAAACATGCCGCCTGTATACACTGGCCGCATGTTCTTGTGCAAGTAAACTGACGTACTGTAGAAAATCAGGGCTTCTTGCATGAGAACTCTGATGCTCCCTTTCAGGAAGAAGCCCTTCCAGAAGAGGCCAGTGTGACAGGCAACATGAATTTCTTGCACAAGAAGCCCCTATGGTTAAAATGAGCATCAGAGCTTTCTTGCGTAAGAGAGCGTCTACACTGGCATGGATGCTCTTGCCAAAAGCACATCTCTTGCGCAAAAGCACATGCCAGTGTAGGCGCACTCTCGTGGAACACTTTTTGCTCAAGAACTTTCTGCAAAAGAGTTCTTACACAAGAAGCTGCCAATGTAGATGTAGCCCAGGGGCAGAGTAGAGGGCTCACCTGGAGAGCGGTCTGCAGTCAATGTGGTGGGTGTTCACTAGACCTGTTGAGTTGACCGCCACTATATCAACCTTGGTGCATCCTATCGCTGCTGGATTGTAAAAGTGGCCTAAGGGTGCTTGTGATGGGTAGGAGGAGCGCTGGCCAGCACTTGGTGACTAAGGTGTTAAACTCAGGTAGCTAGCAAGGGTGTTGGCAGGGGACCCGAAGAGTCAATGGGGATATGGTGCTGAAATTTGAATTGTATAAGATACCTTGCCTGCGCTCTTTGGGTACATCTACACAACAATTTAGTCCATGTCTACACAGCAGGTAGCTATTTCGAAATAATGTTGAAATACTGTTAAACTGGAGGACTTCTTACTCTGACTCCTGTAATCCTCATTGTACAAGGAATAAGGGAAGTTGGAGGAAGAGTGCTCTATTTCAAAATAAGTGTTGTGTAGATGCTCCCAATTTTGAAATAAGCTATTTTGAAATAAGCTACGCAATTGACATAGTTCAATTTGTGTAGCTTATTTTGAGTGAAGCCCTGCTGTGTAGACACACCTTTTGTGTGGGATAGTCAAGCCAGGAGTTGAGAGAGACAGGATGATTTAAACCCAGGCAGGACTATTGTGCCTTCAAGGT